ACCGACTCGTCAAAGGTGACATCCTGAGAGGCGAAGACCCGGCGCGAGGTGGGGTGGTAAAACTGCCAGCCAGGCGCGTCAGGGACAAAGCCAAGGAAGACACAGGGAAGCGTGCGGGAGGAGAGCTTGTCCGCGGACGTATCGCGGACAAGGGCACGAGCACCCCACACCCGGAAGCGCGACGCATCGCCAACCTCCCCCGTCCAACGCAGTGTGGGCGAGGTCTCCGGCAAGGAGACACGGGGCCAGAGGTTGAGCTGATGCGCGGCGTACCGGACAGCAAACGGCCACAGAAAATGGGGAGCCGCCGCGTGGACCAAGGAGGTACGAGCGACCTCCATGACCAGGCCAATGCGGCGCTCAGCAACCCCATTCTGCTGTGGGGAGTCCGGAAGCGTGAAGGTCTGCTCGATGCCCTCCGCCTGACAGAAGGTCCTCAAGAGATCGGAGGAAAACTCACCACCTCTGTCAGAGTGCAGACGCAGGACTGGAAGATCCGTCCGGAAACGGCGGCGGAGCTGGAGACGAACCGTGCGGATCCAAGGGATCAGAACAGCAGGGACCTCACCCTTGGTGCGCAAGGGGAAGACCGTGGTGTAACGCGAGTAGTCGTCGACAACCAGCAAAAAGTACCGCTCACCGCCCTGACCACGAACGCGGGCTGGGCCCCACACGTCCAGGTGGAGGGTCTGCAGAGGAGCCTCTGTCGGGGGGAACGAGGAGGAGTGAGGAGCGGCGCGCTGCCGCCCCTCGACGCAAGGAAGGCAAGGCGGCGCAGGCGAGGCAGGGAGGGGAGGGAGGGACCTGGGAAGACCAGACACAAGGTGGCGACGGTGCATGCCACGAAGGCGTGGCAAGGAGGGGTGACCCAGGCGGTGGTGCCAGAGAAGAGTCTGGTGCGACAGGGAACGACACTCACAGGCGTGGGCTACCAGACCTGACGCAGACACCTGACCGACAGCAGCGACCTGAGGAGACGCAGTGGTCAGTGTGTAGAGACTCGACCCCGGCCGACGGGTAAACGTAGCCAGGTGACGGCCGGTCCTGGAGCACGTGCAGATCGCCACACGCTGTCCTCCAGGGGTAAAGGTGTCAACCCACTGATCCTGGAGGACAGCGTTGCTCACCAGGTTCGTCGAGAACGAGGGGAGGTGGAAACCCGACAACGAGCCAGACGGAACCGCCGGACAAGGGAGCACAGTGGTGGACTGGGCAAGGACTGGGCCCCCAGAGGGGTCAGCCAAGGAGACTGGGACCGGTGCAGGAAGCGGTGTGAGCTCAGTACTGTCACGAAAGAAGCAACGGGAAGCACCTGAGTCAAGGGTGAAGGTGTGACAGGCCTCAGCCGGTGTGGTACCTGAGAGAGCAGTCTCTGTGGGTGCTGTACCTGAGAGAGCAGACTCGAAACCAGCCGGGACAGCACTGGAGGGAGCAAGTACAGGGGGCACCATACCAGAGAGAGCAGACTCACTAGTACCCAGGGCAGCGGGCTCTATACCTGGGTCAGGCGGCACACACAAGTAACAGTCTCCCTCGGCACTAACAGTCAATGCATACATGGCAGCAATAATAGCATCATAGTCAAGAGCAAAGACATCAACACCAGCCCTCATGAGCTCAGCCCAGCGGGGGCGCTCAACATCCGCACCCATCTCCTCACGCCAAGCGTCGTCAAGGCGGGAGAAGCAGCGGTACGGGGTGTGGAACCTCCCACACGTCTGTCCCTTGCGGTCACCTGTGCGAATGACATAAGAACAGCGGCCACTGCCCCCCGACGTCCCACGCTGAGCAAGCCACTCACGAAGCTGCTGGGTCGTCTGGGGACGCTGCTGCTGCTGGGAGCTCTGGCCCGAGCCAGTGCCTCCACTCCGACCTCCGCCGCCACCACTACCACCGCTCCGACCGCCACCGCCGCCACCGCCACCACCGCCACCGCCGCCACCGCCGCCGCCGCCACTACTGCCACTGCTTCCTCCGCCGCCCCCGCCTCCACCGCCGACCCCACTCCCACCAGCGCTCCCGCCACCGCTCCCTCCAGCACCGCCTCCCCCCCCACCTCCCCCACCTCCTCCCCCCCCAGCGCCACCACCACCACCCTTGCCCCCTTTGCCCTTGCCGGTGCGGCGCCTCCCACCAGGAGCAGAAGCAGCGCCAACAGACTCAGCACCAAGGAAGTCAACAGCAGCAGCAGCAGCGTAGGAGGGAGCGAGGGGAGAGGGAGAACACCCCTCAAAGATGGGGGTGCGAGGAGCGCCACGAGCAGCACCGACAGCTACAATGCTCTTTTCGGCCGCGAGCAGCTGCTCCTCTAGGAGGGTGACTGTGAGCTCAGTGGGACAGCGAGCAAGGAAGTGGTCTCGAACTGAGCGGAGGGTGTCAGGGAGACGGGTGACTATGAAGTGGAGTGTCCAGTACAGTGGAGGGGGGTTCTTAGCGCAGAACTCGGTGGGAAGGGCGGCACGCAGGCGAGCATCACTAGTGCGAAGGTGGGTGATAAGATCGGCGACTGTAGTAAAGGTGGACAGATCGGGGAACAGGTACGGCAGCATGAGGCGGCTAAGCTCGGCTGTGGCAGGCGAGGAGTAGCGAGCAACGACAGCATCGTACAGGGCCTTAGCGGATTTGCAGTCGCCAAAATGCTCGAGCTCAGCTAGCGGCAGGTGACTGCGAATGGCTAGGCGAGCAGCTGCGTCACGAGTCTGCCAGTGGGAACGAACACTAAGCTCGGCTGTGGCAGCAGGAGCAGCGGCAGCACCAGACGCGTAGTCATAGAGGGAGATGTGGTCCGTGCTATTGCTCATAAGATACAACTGCAGGTCGTCGAGCCAGGAAGTGAACTGCACGGGACGGCCCTCAGCATCGAAGGAGAGAACGCGAATAGAGGCCATAGCAGGAGCAAGCGGCGGTGCACAGGCAGGGAGCAGCAGGCGAGAAGCGCGGCGGGCGACGCAGCAAGCGGGCAGTGAGGCAGCGGGCGACGCTGCGAAGCAGGTAGCGGGCGGGCGGGCGGCGCTGCGAGCGGGCAGCGAAGCGGGCGGGCCGCGAAGCGGGCAGCGAGCGGGCGGGCGGGCTGCGAAGCGGGCAGCAGGACGAGCGGGCTGCGAAGCGGGCGGGCCGCGAAGCGGGCAGCGAGCGGGCGGGCGGGCTGCGAAGCGGGCGGGCCGCGAAGCGGGCAGCGAGCGAGCGGGCTGCGAAGCGGGCGGGCCGCGAAGCGGGCAGCGAGCGGGCGGGCGGGCTGCGAAGCGGGCAGCGGGGCGAGCGGGCTGCGAAGCGGGCGGGCCGCGAAGCGGGCAGCGAGCGGGCGGGCGGGCTGCGAAGCGGGCGGGCCGCGAAGCGGGCAGCGAGCGGGCGGGCGGGCTGCGAAGCGGGCGGGCCGCGAAGCGGGCAGCGAGCGAGCGGGCTGCGAAGCGGGCAGCGGGGCGAGCGGGCTGCGAAGCGGGCGGGCCGCGAAGCGAGCAGCGAGCGGGCGGGCGGGCTGCGAAGCGGGCAGCGGGACGAGCGGGCTGCGAGCGGGCGGCTCGGCGGGCGGGCGACACTGCGAGGGGCGCGCGAGGGCGCTAGTGAGGGGCGCGCGAGGGCGCTAGTGAGGGGCGCATATAGGCTACTATGACAGGGTTTGGTACAAGTACTAACCCTAAACTGGGTTGTACCCCATATAGGCTACCCCACTACAGCCTACACAATACAATGTTTTGACATTGCCTTAGCCGCATCGCCCTTAGCCTTCGAGAGTCTAGGCCAACACATCCACGTCGCATTGCGAGCCATTTTTCCTTTGACACACGCCGCACACACGCCCTTCTCGTCGTCGCTAGCGATCACGTCGAAGCCCTTCGCAAGTCTTTTGTTGGCCAACTCCTTGACCGACTCGTGGTTGGCGTGCGTACGCAGATTCTGCCACGCCTTGAGAGTCGCCTCAGAGCCTTGCGCCACCACTCTTCCGGAAGGTCGCAAAGCAAGGTCAAAATCCAATCCTCCTCCGTGAACATTTTACCGAGGTCCATGAATGTTTCTCCGAGTTCCTCCATACGAGTCGCATACTCGTGCATTGATTCGCCATCGCGCCACTTCACCGTGAACAACGTTTGCCATGCGTGGATCTTACTGTTCAGAGTCTTGTTGACGTGGATCGACTCGTGCCGCTTCCACGCTTCATACGTCGACGATTCTAGCTTGATGCACGTGCGCACCGAGCTCACGAGGTTGATGCCCATGCGCGCGATCAATATAGCGAACGCCTTTTGGTCCTTCTTCTTCCATGCCGTGATGTCGTCCTCGTTCGTCGTCGTCTTTTTCTCCGATCCATCGAAGAAACCCCCAAGTCCTCGCTCCATCATGAGCACTTGGAACTTGAATTTCCACCCGGAGTAGTTTTTTCCCGTGAAAATCGGAACTGCCGACGTGTCAAATACCATCGCAGTAGTCTAGGGTTCACCGATATCCATGACGAGACCATCCAAGGTAGTGCAGGAGGCCTCGCTTGAAGTCGGCATGCTAGCTTGTTGTCGCGCGCATAGACTCCTCCGACCAGCTCTGATACCACTGCTGTACAGGCTTCTCCTCTATTTCGCAGGAACTAGGATTTAAACAGTAGAGCTCTCTGTTACTTTTCCAACGAGCCGTAGATCACCTCAATCGCCTAAGTATCGAGCGAGATATCGTCGTTTATGTGCTAGGTAGTGCTCTTAGAATTAAGGGTAGGAGCTCTCTGGGTTTTTGTTGAATTGCGTTGTATACAATGAACTCTGATTTTCAGTAGGAAGCATGCATACAAAGCAAACACAGTTAGAGAAACTGAAATTCATCGAGTAACATCTAGTCACCACAAGATGTGTCGCGAATATTCGGTGAGTAACATTTCGATGTGGTGAAATTCGGCAACCGAATTTCACACATTCGAATGTTCGTTTAGTCTCAAACCTTCTGGTGCTGCCATGTGGAACCAAATCAGTGGGGTCTTCCTAAGTCAAACTTTAGCCCCACTCAAACCCGCAGCGCACTCAAAGATAAGCTCCAAAACCAGCTTCCTCCTCTTCCTCCTCCTCCTCCTCCTCCTCCTCCTCCTCCTCCTCCTCCTCCTCCTCCTCCTCCTCCTCCTCCTCCTCCTCCTCCTCCTCCTCCTCCTCTTGCTCCTTGTCCCCGTAATCCTCGTCATCTGCCACCTTAGCCGCCTCCTCGTCTTCAGCGGCTAGCATGACGAAAGTGTGCCTCCACGGTGTTCTTTGTAGTGCGCTTGAGCTTCTAGATCTGCTCTGACAAACACAACACACAAACACAAGCTACAGGCAGCAATTCAGGTGCTCGGCAGGCTGCTGTACGTGAGTCACCTTGCGCATCATGTCCCGAGTCTGTCAAACCCTCGTTTTCAAGATGGGATGAACCTGGCCCCCAGGTGCATGATGACGTGGGCAAATTGGGGGATAATTCAGTTACGGTGACAGGTCGTTTGCCAAAATTGTGCGACCATCCGCCGCTGTGCCTCGTCGCTCGACGTGTGTCGGATTTGGAAGTCTAAAATAGAAAAGTCCCTCGCCATCCCCCCCCCTTCCCCCCCCCCCTCCCCCCTCCCCTCCCTCCTCAGTAGGGCTTTTGCTAGGACTGAAATGTCCGAATCTAGCAGGAGAATGAAATGAACTAGCCAAGAATGTGGCACAAATATGGCAAACCCTCATTGGATTGTACCCCTTATGGGCTACCCCACTACAGCCTACACAACATATTTTGACATTAAGCCCGTCTACAAATATAAATGGGAAAAATAGTTCAGTCTGACGTTAAGAAGAAGAAAAGAAGCTGGTCTGATTGTTGGGGTGTCAGAAAATATATTACATATGTTTTGTATAAATGCATGTCGTCTAGCTACAGTGTAGTCACATATGTGTTATGTATGGTGGTGCACCACTCCTAGCTTGCTTCTCTTCTATTTGTACCTGTCTTCACATAGTGCAACGACCTCTTGCATGGACAACTCTCTCTTGCCTAGGTCTAAACCCTAGACTACTGTCCTGGCTATGCCTAGACAACATGGTATTAGAGCCTCTACGCTCCTGGCCTGTGGGCCCCTATGCTTCCGCTGCTGCTGTACTGTCTGTCGCGCGCCCCGTGGCGCGCGACGTTTTTTCTTCCCGCCACGCGCTCGGGGCGCGTGGCGGTTTCCTGCCCGCCGCGCGCCCCGGGCGCGCGCGGCGGTTTCGCCGTCCGTCGCGGCGCCCTGGGGGCCCGCGCGCTGTCCCCTCCTGTCGCTCGTCGTGGCGCCCTGGGGGCCCGCGCGTCGCCCCCTCCCGTCGCCCGTCGTGGCGCCCTGGGGGCCCGCGCGTCACCCCCTCCCGTCGCCCGTCGTGGCGCCCTGGGGGCCCGCGCGCCGCCCTGTTCGTCGCCCGTCGCAGCGCCCCAGGGACCCGCGCCCCGCCCTGCTTTCCGCTCGCACGCCGCCCCAGCTGCTACCCGCCCCGCCCCGCCTGCGTTTGGATCTTGGGGTGGCGGGTATGGGGGTGGCGGGTATGGGGGTGGCGGGTGTGTGAGCCGTCCCCTGCTCCTCTTCCTACTCCGTCTCCCACTGCTGCAGCTGCTGCTGAGGTTGGTGGGTGTGCGGGAGCCGAGGGAGTGGCGCTAGGGGGGTGTCGTGGGAGTGGAGCTAGGGGTGCAGCAAGGGGGTGTGTGAAAAGGGGGTGTGGGACTGTTAGGGGAGGTTGAGCGGAGGTCGCCGTCGTGTCGTCAGCAGCGCCAGTAGTCCGGAGCCCTCGTGCTCTCGGTAGCCCAGCGAGCCTGCTTCGCCAGTCGCCTGTGGGTCCGTTGCTCCTGCCGCTCGTCGTAGCCGCAGAGCCAGATACTCCCGTAGTCCGGTGCCCTCGTTCACTCGGTAGCCACTGTGCGCGCCGCTCCTGTTGCCCGTGTGACTGCGGCTTCACCTGTCGCCTCCTATCTCCACTCCTCTCACAGTCCCTCCTCCTCCTCACTTCGCCTCTTCATCTGCTACTCCTTGCAGGGTGCACCACTTCAGGGGGTGTTCTGCACAAGGCTATTCCTGCATGCACTTAGGGGGTGTGTCAGAACATATATTGCATATGTTTTGTATAAGTGCATGTAGTGTAGCTGTAGTGTAGTCATATATGTGTTCTGTGTGGTGGTGCACCACTCCTAGCTTGCTTCTCTTCTATTTATACGTGTCTTCACATAGTGCAACTCTCTCTTGCCTAGGTCTAAACCCTAGACTACTGTCCTTGCTATTGTCAGATGACCACTGGAGATCCCCGATTGATCCTAGGGAAGGGTTACAGGCACGTCGGCCTGGGGGGTTATGGGCGCACTCACCCGCTACACAAACAAGCCCTTTTATCCCAATGGTTAGTGACTGGGATTCTGACATGGTATCAGAGCGAAGGTCTCGGGTTCGAATCCCGGTGTGTGCACCTTGGGCATCCCAGTGCGGGGGGGTGTCAGAGGTCCACTGGAGATCCCCGATTGATCCTGCGGAAGGGTTACAGGCACGTCGGCCTGGGGGGTTATGGGCGCACTCACCCACTACACAAACAAGCCCTTTTATCCCAGTGGTTAGTGGCTGGGATTCTGATAGCTATGCCTACTATTTCAACATGGGGGGCTTGGGTTGCGAGACGGTCGTGGGGATACTGGGGCTGGGTGGGGCACAAGTGTCGTGGGCTTGTGAGACACGAAGGGAATTTTGGAGTGGCTGGATAATGGGGAGGAGCGAGGGAATTCGGGTGTGGTGGGGCTGAAGAATGGGGGGGAGGGGGAGAGGGAAAGGGGGGTGGTGGGAAGGGGGTATACTCGGTATTTGTTGTCAGACGAAAATGTACGCACTATCTGATTTCTTAGATGAAATATAACGCCGAGTCTGTTTTTTCAGATGAAATATAATTGCTGGTCTTATGGATCAGACGAACTAAAATCATTCGTCTAACAAATCAGATGAAATGAAAAAAAAATAGGTCTGATTTTCATACCATCTGACCGATTTGGTATGATAACAAGGACCCTGCTCCTCAGTAAACGAACATGGCTAATCGAATAATAATGATAGACAAGTAAGTGTACCAGAGACTTAAAAAACTACATGCCACCTAAATGTTCACCCTAGCCTTTTATTGTGAATTGATAGAGAGTCCTCTTGGTTATTTAGCCGGGAGAATATGGTAGCTTAGTTTGGCAATGCCTTTTCATACGTTACAAACATTTGCGTTTTCGAAATACACTCATGTAAAAATATGAATGTAGATGCATGAGAGATAATATTTTGCCATCAATTTCAAGTTCACCGTTAACATAATACTCTATGTGAAAGGTACCCATTATATGTTCACATTTACCCAAGGAACTGGTATTGAATAGTTGGATAATACAAGGGTTGTATCTTACACATTTTCGCTGTATATTCACCCCTGTAAAATGACAACATGTTGCATTTTCAGATTGGTCTTTTAAATTTTAGTGACAAGAATGGAGAAGAACAATTGTTGAAAAAATTGCAAGAGACTTGTAGGCACGGTGTAACTGATGATTCCGTTCAGCGTGTTTTTCTTGTCGGTGAGCTCAAAGGCGATTCATAGGTGGCTTTCCACCATCGTTTTGGGCGACAGGCAAGGCGGAAGAGACAAAGCCAGAAATGCCCTTTTTCTCCCGCCTTCCGTTCCGCCTGATTGTTCCCCTGATCCCCTTTCCCCGCCTTCCTTACTCCACTCCACACCACACTTGCTTTCCCGCCCCGTCGTTCCCCGCACTCTCCCTCCCCTCCCTCTCCCCCCCCCCCCTCCCACTCAAAAACAACCCTCTTCCCCCCCTTCCCTCCCCCGCTCTCCTGCCTTGCCCATCTCGTAGTCGCAACCCTAACTCAAATCCGCTCCTCGTTCCTTCGTCTCTCTCTTTCCTTCCCTTCTCTCGCGGAGTGGGACCGAGTAGGGTAACACTTAGCAGCACCATCAGTAGCGCGCACCCATCCACCCACACTAGCATACCCAGCAGCAGCCATGGCGACAGCAGCGGCTCGTCCGCTCGTTACAGTTCAGCCGTACGACGAGGCCGGCGCGCCGCAGCAGGCGCCGCTTCCCGCCGTGTTCCTCGCGCCGATCCGCAGCGATGTCGTTAAGTTCGTGCACGCCATGGTTTCGATGAACAAGCGCCAGCCGTACGCCGTCAGCACCAAGGCCGGCCACCAGACGTCCGCCGAGTCCTGGGGTACCGGTCGCGCCGTGTCGCGTATTCCGCGTGTTCCCGGCGGCGGTACGCACCGCGCGGGACAAGGAGCCTTCGGTAACATGTGCCGCGGCGGTCACCTGTTCGCGCCGCTCCGCATCTGGCGCCGCTGGCACCGCAAGGTGGATATTCTGACTCTTTCCCCGCTATAGCAGAAGTTTCGATATAGTTACGGGGGAGAGCACGTAGTTAGTTAAGTGGTGCTTTCATTAGGCTCGCGAGCTAGTGAGGCATGCGAATTCCTCAATTTTAGGACCGTTTTTCTCTCCGCGCGATTACGGGCTTGCGATCGCGCTAGGTTTCTGGAGCTGCGAGTATCTGGAACCTGGGTAGCAGGGCTATATGTCGATTGCACGGATCTTCACGAAGATCGCTGAAGATGGTTTTATTAAACGCACGAAGCAGGTCTGTTGACGCGGTACAAGTGATGCCGAATATCCTGTTGCGCGAATACACCTAGCCTCGTGGGAGATTGAGCCTTTGGGGAGGTTGACCGGGCTCGGTCTTCGCTGCGTCATGAGCGGACGGAATCAAGCAGGAGGCGCGAGCTTTTTCTCCGGAGTGTTCTCACGTGGCTAGGCTCAGCCCCTCCCCTGCGGCTTCCCTCCTCCTTACAGAATGCGCGGAATGCACGCCGTGTCCATGGCGAGAGTCGTCACATGCCGTTCCGCACTGTCATCTAGCTTGACCCAAATCATGCCCTTATTTTCAACTACCCGATATAGCAAGGTCGCGGATAAGGGTTCGTAGTCCACGCGACCAACGCGTTGGTTGCACTGACATTGATCGTCAACACAATAGCGTGAAGTGTCGACCAGCGCGTTTATGCCCTTGGCTAGCATTTCCCGTCAGGTCGGCAGAAGAATTTGTTGGCCTGAGCACTTTTGCCTACATCAACATGTTCATCTTCATGTATCGATGCTGGCTTTAATGTCGACACTGATTCAACATTCGCAACCCCTTCTTCTCTTTCTGGGTAACCCCTCGGCCCCACTCCCTCCTTTCCCCCGTGTCCCCGCAGGTCCCCATCAAGATGCGCCGCCATGCGGTCGCCTCCGCCATTGCCGCCTCCGCCGTGCCCGCGCTCGTCCAGGCGCACGGCCACGCCGTCAGCAAGGTACGCAATGACGTCAGCAAGGTACGTAATGACGTCAGCAATACAGTACGCACTTGCGTTTTCCCTCTCTTCCCCCTCATCTTCTCCATCTCCCCCTGTCCCACCATTTCCCGCGCGTTTCCCCTTGTCCCCCCGCTCCCCCATTCCCGCTCTCTCTCTCTCCTCCCTCTCCCCGTTTCTCCATCTGCTCCCCATATCTGTTCCCCTTCCTTCCCCTTTTTCCCTTTGTCCTCCCGTCAGTCACCCTTCGTCATGCATATCCCCCTGTCCCCCCGCTCCCCTGTGTCTCCCCGCTCCTCCACCCCCTCCGCCCCTCCGCCCCTTCCCCCTCTTTTTCTCCCCGCGCGAATCAGGCGTCGGAGCTGCCACTGGTGGTGGGCAACGAGATCGAGGCGGTGGAGAAGACTTCTTCCGCGCTCCCCAACCCCCTCCCCTCCCCCTCTTTCCTTCTGTCCCATCTGTCCCCCTTACTCCTCCCGCCCCCCGTGCCCCCATCCTCCCCCCCCATGCCCCCCTCCTCCCCCCCCATGCCCCCCTCCTCCCCCCCATGCCCCCCTCCTCCCCCCCCATGCCCCCCTACTCCCCCGCAGGCGCCGGAGCTGCCGCTGGTGGTGGGCAACGAGATCGAGGCGGTCGAGAAGACTTCGTCCGCGCTGAAGGCGCTGAAGCGCATCGGCGCGTATGATGACGTGGCGAAGGTGATCGCGAGCAAGAAGATCCGGCCCGGCGTGGGCAAGATGCGCAACCGGCGGTACCTGAGCAAGAAGGGCCCGCTCATCGTGTACGGCACCGACGGCGCTAAGCTCACCAAGGCCTTCCGCAACATCCCCGGTGTTCAGGTGCGTGCGAGGATGGGTGAGCGGGCGAAGGGGTGAGCGGGCGAAGGGGTGAGCGGGTGAGGGAAAAGAGAGATGAGCAGGGGATTTGGTAAGGTATGAGGCCCTGAACAAGGGCGCGCCCACCTCGCCGCTCTTCGCCGCTCGACACCGACGGCGCCAAGCTCACCAAGGCCTTCCGCAACATCCCCGGCGTGCAGGTGGGTGCGAGGATGGGTGAGCGGGCGAGCGGGTTAGCGGGTGGGTGCAGGTGAGTGCGAATGCGAGTGAGTGCAAGAGCGGGTGAGCGCCAGAATAGGTGAGCGCTAGAGCAGTTGCGAAATATAAAAATTCGTCGAAGGAAGGTCAAGAAGTGCAATTGTCTGATTTCTTGCTCTCCTTCCCTCCTACCCTAACCTCCTCCCCTCCTACTGTCCTCCCCTCTCTCCCTCCTACCCTCCTACCCCACTACCCTGCTCCCCTCCTTCCCGCCTTCCCTCCTCTCCTCCCCCCTTTCCTTCTCTCCTTCCCTTTCCGCCTCCCCTCTTCTCCTCGTCTCCTCTCCCCTGCTTCCCTCCACTCTTCACCCGCCCCCCGCCCCCCTCCCTCTCCCTTTCCGCCCAAATGAACAGGTCGTGGCGGTCGAGAAGCTGAGCGTGCTCGACCTGGCCCCCGGCGGCCGCGTCGGTCGCTTCGTGATCTGGACGCAGAGCGCGTTCGACAAGCTCGAGGGGCTCTTCGGGTCGTTCTCGCAGGCGCCCACCATGAAGCGCGACTTCCTGCTTCCGCGCGCCGCCATCGTGAACTCCGACATCACGCGCATCATCAACAGCGACGAAGTGCAGGTGCGCGGAGGGAGGGAGGGGCGAGGGGGGCAGAGAGAAGGGGACGTGGCAGGGGACAGGGGGTTTAGGGGTTATTTTGGTCGATCTCCCGCCCAGGCGCCATTGTCAACAGCGACGAAGTGCAGGTGGACGGAGGGGAGGGGGAGGGAGGGGGAAGAGTAGGCGCGAGGGGTCGAAGAGCGGGGGGCGAGGGGGATTAAGGGAGGGGCTCTCGGGGTCGTTCCCACAGGTGCCATGGTCAACTCGGACATCACGCGCATCATCAACAGTGACCAAGTGCAGGTTGGCGGACGGGAGGGGAAGGGGGGGGGGGGTGGGAGGTAGGGGCAAAGGGGACCAGGGGCTGTTTGGGTCGTGAGTGCAGGTGGGAAGAGCGAAAGGGAAAAAGGAGGAGAGCGTGGGGAAAGCGATCTTCATTTTCCACCTATGAATTGATATTTACGTTCGTATGATATTTGTCTTGCATACACCCGTCCCTCCGCCTCCCCCCGCCCATGCTCCCCTCTGCCCACGTCCCGCTCTCCCCACTCTCCCCACTCCCCACCCCGCTCTCCCCACACGTCACTCTCCCCACACGTCACTCTCCCAGCGCGCCACACCCAATCCTCCCCCCTTCGCCAGCGTCCACCTGCCCCCTCCCCCGGCAGCTACACCTTCTCAACCGCAACCCATCGGCTTGCTTGTGTTCTCCCCACCACTCCCCACTCCCCACTTCCCCCCTCTCCTCCCTTCCCCCCTGCTTCTCCCCTGCAGAGTGTGTGCCGGCCCAAGAGGGCAGCACCGAAGCCGCTGCACCGCCTGAAGCGCAACCCGCTGAAGAACCGCACCACCATGGCTGTGCTCAACCCCCCCTCCTGCTGCTCCGTGCCTGCCCTCCACCTCCCTTGCAACCCATTCCCCTGACTCCCCTCCAACCCACAGAGTGTGTGCCGACCCAAGAGGGCGGCCCCCAAGCCGCTGCACCGTCTGAAGCGCAACCCGCTGAAGAACCGCACAGCCATGGCCGTGCTCAACCCCTTCGCCGCGGAGAAGCGCAAGCAGGCCGCCGAGGCTGCCGCCCAGCCCAAGGCCAAGAAGGCCCGCGAGGTGAGTGGTTGACTGGGTTTGACTTGAGTGGATGGGGTTGACTCGGGTTGACTTGGGTTGACCTGCGTTGACTTAGGTTGACTTGGATGGACTTGGGTTGGCTTGGTTCACCCTCTTTGACTGGGCCGTGGAGATGGAATGTGTGTGGTTATGGCGATGGAAGCTGAAGCTGTTGTAAGCTGCTGAATGCTAGTGCTCAGCTCCCTGCAGCAGCAGCAGCTGCGAGCCTGCGGCTCAAGGGCATGAAGGCGTGAGAGGCAGAGAGCTGGCCTGCAGGACAGGCATTTGGCATGATTGACTTGGTTGATCTGATTGAACTTTTGATACTGTCCTCATCTTGAAGCACAAAGTTGGGTCTGGTTGTCTTTTCGCTTGACCACAGGTATGTTCCCATTGGTAGCTTCCTCCAACCTTGTATCCTTCTGCCCCCTGACCCATTTCCCCCTGGTTCCTTTCCCTGGTTGCTCTTTTGGTGTGCCTGTGGTCCCCTTCGCCCCCGGTCCCTTTTCCTGCATGATGTTTCGGCGTGGGTGCGGGCATGTGATGTGTGTGTGTGTGTGTGTGTCTATCTGCAGACGGAGGATGCCAAGAAGGCGGGAGCACAGTGGTACCAGACCATGATTTCAGACTCGGACTACCTCGAATTCGAAAACTTCACCAAGTGGCTCGGCGTGTCTGAGTGAAGTGTTTAGTACAGTATTGTTGCCATTTTAAATGTGATGCGGATGAGGAATGTGTGTTTTTCTTTTCTGTATCGTTCACAAAGAAGGTTAGGGCTGGGCAAGAAGAGCTCCTTTTTTGGCAAGTGATGGTGTGGAAGTCAAGTTTTAATACTTGTTCTCTGTGATTGTAGTGGAGATGTACTGATGCAAAAAGAACCGTTGGCATTGATTTATCCTTGTAAGGTGTTGAAGTTGGAGAGATTTATATAGTAAACTATCTCATGACACCGTTTTAGTCTACAGCGCATATCCTCTGTGATCCCCGCAGGTCTGAGGACGTATGTTGCACAACGAAAATGGTGAAATCTTGAAATAGTGAAGCGAGTTTGTCGCACCGCGAGTTGCGTGGTGTTTGCTCCGCATACCGTACCTTTTTTGGGGAAGGAATGGCAGCCCTTACGAGGCTCTCAGGCGGCTTGATCGCCGCCAGCTTGCTGCAAGGCCGCAGCCAACGCGCTCGCCGGTCGCTTTCCGCTAACCGCGATCCGTCGTTGTTGTTCACTCAGATTTCCAGGTTAGAAAATTCTTAGAAGAATGGTTTTTTACTCGTACGTGCATGCAAGCAGCCGCACGACACGGCACCACGGCCAGCCATTCTGGTCACATTATCGTTGGAAAATTTGTCGTTTTTTAGTGACCGTGCGAATGCGCGAGATCCGCTCGTACTCGAAGCTAGCAAGGATCGTCCGCGAGTCGACTCAAAAGCAGACGCGGTGCACTTTCTACGTCGTGGCTTTCGTCACTAGTTCCGCCTCTCACGCGTAGAAACGAGGGGAAGAGCTCTTTCCCTCGCCCCTCGTGCCTTCATGGCTGTTCTCGTCCGTCGTGCCTCGTGGCTATTTCGTCCCTCGCTCCTAGCTCTTTCCGCCGTGCCTGCTTTTATTTTCGCGCATGATTTGCCTTCACTTTCCTATCTCCACGACTGAAAATGGAATCTTGTGTCTTCATGCGTGTAAATCCAGCCGAGTCTCGGCCGCCTTCTCTATCCGCAGGAAGACTCACTTTCCAGTTCCCTTCCCATGATCTACCCTGCCCGCTGCTGCCTCTGTGTTTTGAGTCGACTCAAAACACACCGTTTCTATACTTGCCGGCAGACCCACCTTGCAGCTCCCTTTTGGGACGCCTCAAAAGCTCTCCCCGCCTTAATACGCTGATTCTGAATTTGCGCTGATTTTAAATGTGCAGGCGAACGCACCTTCCAGTTCCCTTTCCACGAGCCACCCGGCCTGCTGCTGCCTCTGCCTCGGCCTCTGCTGCCGCTGCTGCTGCTGCGCCGGTCAACGGATCTGTGACTATGGAGGGAGTGACTATGCGCGTTCCGCCTCCCCCGCATCCCACGTGTGACGTCATGATGGCCGTGAGAGCCGCCCTGGATGAAGACGCGGGCGACCTCGGTGCGTGGGGGAGAGGAGTGCGTAGTGAGAGGAGTGTGTGAGTGAATTGTCTTTCCAGATGTTCCTTCATGTGAGCACAGAAGGCAATCTTCCCCCTGGGAGTCATGATGGCCGTGAAAGCCGCCCTGGATGAAGACGCGGGCGACCTTGGTGCGTGGTGGGGAGGAAAGGGGGGACAGGGTGGTGGGTGAATGGGGGCGTGGGGGGCAGGAAAGGGGGGGACGGAGGGATAGGATTGGGTTGGGACTTGTCATGATGGCCGTGAAAGCCGCCCTGGACGAAGACGTGGGGGATCTCGGTGCGTGGCGAAAGGGGAGGCGTATTAGGGAGGGACGAATGCACGAGTGAAAGGAGAGCGTGTGTGAGTGAAACGCCCTCCCACATATTCCTTGGTGCGAGCGCAGCAGCAGGCAATCTACCCCACGTGTGACGTGACGTCATGATGGCCGTGAAAGCCGCCCTGGATGATGATGCGGGCGACCTTGGTGCGTGGGAGGCAGGAGGGGGGAGAGAGACATGAGGGCGCGGGGGACAGGAGGGTGGGGGGGGGGACACGAAGGGGGACAAGAGGGCGGAGGGGTCAAACAGGGGGGGAGGGGGGGCAAGAGGGCGTGGGTGTAGGTCAATGAGTAGTTACACATTCTTTAAGGGCTTGGTTACAGACTCTGTCGAGATTCTACATGTGCCGTGGAGCGATTTCCTTTGTTTAATTTATTTATTTGTTTCCTCTCTTTGCTTTTTCTGCTACTTTTTTCTCTGCTTGTTTTCTCCATCTTTTTATTTGCATAAGCCCGTTTTCTGTGAATGCACCCCCTCTGGTCCTTCACCAGTACTGTATAGCAGTGATTCTTCCTGCAAGCGCAGTCAACTTTTAAGGCGCCTCAAAAGTCCTTCACCAGTACTGTATAGCAGTGATTCTTCCTGCAAGCGCAGTCAACTTTTGAGGCGCCTCAAAAGTCCTTCACCAGTACTGTATAGCAATGATTCTTCCTGCAAGCGCAGTCAACTTTCCAGGCGAATACTCATGTGATGTGCGATGCTCTTGTCGCCCCAGGGGACGTAACGAGTCTGGCGACCATCCCAGGCGCCACCTCTTCCACCACACCAGTGTACCCTTTCTCCGTTTCGCCCCACTCCCTCCCACTCCCTCCCACTCCCTCCCACTCCCTCCCGCTCCCTCCCACTCCCTCCCACTCCCTCCCGCTCCCTCCCACTCCCTCCCACTCCTTCCCACTCCCTCCCACTCCCTCCCACTCCCTCTCATCCCCCCATGAGGGAACGTTCCAAGCCCGGTAATAATTTCAGCGGGCACACAAGCGAGCGCACGAGCATACCCTTTCCTGCTCTCTTCCCCCCCTCTTTCCCCCATCTTCCCCTCCCCCCCCACCCGCCCCTTCTCCAGGCGACGTCACGAGTCTGGCGACCATCCCAGCGGGCACAAAAGCGAGTGCCCAGTTCCTGGCAAAGGAGGGGGGCGTGCTGGCGGGCACTGCGCTCGCCACTGCTGTGTTCCGACTGCTGGAGCCGAGCATTCAGGTGAACGCGAGGCGAGGGGCTAGGTGATGGGGGTGAGGTGGGGATGACGTGGGGGTGAGGTGGGGATGACGTGGGGTTGAGGTGGGGATGACGTGGGGGTGAGGTGGGGATGACGTGGGGGTGAGGTGGGGATGACGTGGGGTTGAGGTGGGGATGACGTGGGGGTGAGGTGGGGATGACGTGGGGTTGAGGTGGGGATGACGTGGGGGTGAGGTGGGGATGACGTGAAGGTGAGGTGGGGATGACGTGGGGTTGAGGTGGGGATGACGTGGGGGTGAGGTGGGGATGACGTGGGGTTGAGGTGGGGATGACGCGGGGGTGAGGTGGGGATGACGTGGGGGTGAGGTGGGGATGACGTGGGGGTGAGGTGGGGATGACGTGGGGGTGAGGTGGGGATGACGTGGGGGTGAGGTGGGGATGACGTGGGGGTGAGGTGGGGATGACGTGGGGGTGAGGTGGGGATGACGTGGGGGTGAGGTGGGGATGACGTGGGGGTGAGGTGGGGATGACGTGGGGTTGAGGTGGGGGGTGAGGGGGGGAGCTCACCATTCAGGCGAGTGCGCAGTGCCTGGCGAAGGAGGGGGGTGTGCTGGCGGGCACTGCGCTGGCAACTGCTGTGTTCCGACTGCTGGAGCCAAGCATTCAGGTGAGAAGGGGTGGGGCGAGGCCAGGGTTGGACAGGCGAGTGCACAGTTCCTGGCGAAGGAAGGGGACGTGCTGGCCGGCACTGCGCTGGCTACAGCTGTGTTCCGACTGCTGGAGCCAAGCATTCAGGTGAGCAAGGGCCAGGGTCGAGGTGAATGGGGTGGGGTGGGGTGGGGTGGGGTGGGGTGGGCCTCAACACGCAGGCGAGTGCACAGTTCCTGGCGAAGGAAGGGGGCGTGCTGGCGGGCACTGCCGCTCGTCTCCGCTGTGTTCCTGGCGTCCAGGTGAGAGAAGCGAGGGGAGGGGGTGTGGGGAGGCACACGGGTGGTCCTGAGTCGGCTCCTGGCGACATAGGGGGGCGTGCTGGCTGACATAGTACTCGCCACGGCTGTGTTCCGACTGTGGGAGTCAAACACTCAGGTGAGCGAGGCGAGGGAAGGGGTTGAGGTGGGCTGAAGCGAAGGGTTGAGGGGAGGGACGAGACACAACACAGATGTGGGCTTGAGTCGGCTCCTGGCGAAGGAGGGGGGCGTGCTGCTGGCAGGATGCGAAGTGAGAGGCGAAAGGTTGAGGGGGGACAAGGTAGCCTTGAATGAGTGTCTGGCCAGGAAGGGCAGAAATCCCTCTGCTACAGCTACATTCTTCTACATCTGTTGGAGATGAGGGGGTTCAGTGAGCGTGTATGAAGATTTGTTTTGAGACGTCTCAAAACAAATCTTCATACACGTCTGGCCAGGAAGGGCAGAAATCTGTCTGCTACGTTCTTTTACGTTCTTCTACATCTGTTGGGGATGAGGGGGTTCAATGAGCGTGCTTTGGGGATTCCTCGAAAGAAGCTGCGTTCGCTTGCTGCATGCATGCATGCATGCTCACGCACGCTGTATTTTCATGTTTCTGTTGGCCTGCGATGCCTATAGTTACGTTAAATGTGCATGGGCTCGTGTGTCAACATGTCATATTGTCGATCCTTTTTGCGTTTGCCCTGTGGATGGATGTTGGCTGCATGTGCGTCTGCTGCATGGCACGGTGCACGGTGCATGAGAGCAGGTGGAGTGGAGCAAGGAAGATGGAGACATGGTGGAGAAGGGCGAGGTGTTTGCCACCGTGCAAGGTGAGTGAGTTGCCTGCTGGGCTGCTCATGGGTTGCACCGTGGGCTGGCTCGGCTGGTGGGCTGCTGGGCTGGTGGGAGGTAGGGGGATGTACTGCAATCCGCGTGGAGGTAGGAGGCTGAAGCTGGGAAACATATGCTGAGTCGACTCAAAAGTGAGGAGGAGGTGAAGCAGCAACAAGAGACACCCAAGTGGCCAACCAACCAACCCACCCAAACCACGTATTGATTAACCTCCTTTTCCCTCCCTCTCTTTTCAAATCCCAATCAATGGTGTCACCCTCCCCCTCGCCCCCATGTTGACCCCTCCCTCCCCACCCCTCGCTTTATCCCTCTCAAAATCCACCTCTCTGTGGTCCCTGGGCTTTCCTTCCCCCTTTTTCCTTGCGAAAACCATCCTCCCTGGCCCCTGGTCTTCCCCCCTCGCACCGCCCTTCCCCCCCCCACACATCACAACGTGCAGGGTCGGCGCACGCCATCCTGCAGGGCGAGCGAGTGGCGCTCAACTTCATGCAGCGGATGAGCGGCATTGCCACGTCCACCAGGGTGAGTCAGCATTGCCACGTCCACCAGGGTGAGTCAGCACTGTTAGAGGCTGGGTCAGCATGGTTGATGGCTGAGTCAGCAGATGGAAGGGCCGAGTCAGCAGAGGGAGGCCTGGGTTAGAGAAGAGTTTTGCAGCTGAGTGGGTGGGTAGTGAGTGGGTTTATTGGATGGGCAGACAGAGTGACTCGACCCACACTTCGCCTGCAGTGTCAGGTAACATGGTAACACGGTGCATGTAGCAACTTCTCGTCCCTCCCATTTCCTCTCCTCCACCACTCCTCCACATTTCCTACCCTCCTCTCCCCGCCCTCCCCCCTGCTCTCTTTCCCTCCCCTACTCCTTCCCCCCACGTGCCAGGCCATGGTGGAGGCAACCCGCTTTGCCACAGCAACTTCCCATGCGCCCCTCGCCCTTCCCCCTCATTTTTCCTCTGCTCTCCCTGTCCTTCCCCGTTCCATCTCCCACCTGCTCCCCTCCCCTCTCCCCTTTTCGCCCCGCATGCCAGTCCATGGCAGAGGCAGCCCGCCCTGCCACAGCAACTTCCCTTCCCCCGCTCTCCCTGCCCTCCCCCGTTCCATCTCCCCCCTCCCCTCTCCCCTTTTCGCCCCACATGCCAGGCCATGGTGGAAGCAGCCCGCCCTGCCACAGTGCTAGAGACACGCAAGACCGCCCCGGGACTGAGAATCACAGACAAGTGGGCGGTGAGTTGGCTGCAAGAGTGTGTCTGGGGGAGTCGGCAGAGTGGCTGGGCTGGCTTGTCTGGGAGTCGGTTTGTAAGCATTATTCTAATCAGAATGTCAGAAACTGCATTCTGATAAACAGAAACTGCACCTAGAAAAGGTCAGAGTGGTTTGGCTTGGACAAGTGGCTGGGGTTTCGCCTGCTGGTATTTGAGAATCAGATGAGGAGAAGAAAGTGGTGTGAGGAAGTTCAGTGGTTTGGAGAATGGCATAGGGAAGATTTTACTTTTGAGAATCCTCAAAAGTAAAATCCACATAGCTGGAGAACGGCATGGGGAAGAGGATTCTAGCCACCGGAATTTCATTTCTCCAACACCAAGAGAACATTCAGAAAGCAATGCTGAACCACTTCTTTGCCTATCCCAAGTGCTGATTTCGGGGGGGCGAACCATCGTGTGGGGCTGTCCGACAAGAGTCGAACATGGCTCTTTGAACCAACTCACAAGTCGTCCCTACCTCAACAACTCATGCCGCAGGTGCTGATTTGAAGGGGGGAGAGGGGGAAGAACCATCACGTGGGGGGGCACAGCATGCTGCTGGGTGGGTTTTCAGTCCACTGTAGGACCATCGCTTCCTAACCCTCCGCTGTCTCGTCCCTACCTCCGCACTCCCCCAGGTGCTGATAGGCGGGGGTTAGAAAAAACAGGTGGGGCTGTACGACATGCTGCTGTTGAAGGACAACCACATCGCTGCTGCTGCTGGTGTGCCCTCCCTTGCTGCCCTCCCTTGCTGCCATCCTTGCTGCCAGGGAAGGCTCTTTGTTTCACCCCATCTCTACTCACCCATCTGTTCAGGTGCTGATAGGAGGGGGGCAGAACCACCGAGTGGGGCTGTACGACATGCTGCTGGTGAAGGACAACCACATCGCTGCTGCTGGTGGTGTGCCGGCTGCTATCAATGCTGCCAGAGAGTACATCCGATCCAACGGCCTGGATCTCCCGGTGGAGGTGAGTGAGAGGGCGGAAAGTAAGGAGGTGGAGGTGTGAGGGGGGCAAACGGGGGAACGAGGGTAGGCGGCGGTTTGAGGAGGGGAGTGTGCGTGGATGGTGGTGTGCCTGCTGCCTCCCCCGCTGCCAGAGAGTGCATCCGTTCCAACGGCCTGAATCTCCCGGTGGAAGTGAGTGAGGGGGGGAGAGTGCGTAGGTGGTGGTGGAGGTGAGGGAAGGGGGGAACAGAGTAGTTGGGGGGGGGGAAAGAGTGTGTAGATGGTGGTGTTTTGAGTCGACTCAAAACTATGCTCAGGGAGGGGGAGAGTGTGCAGATGGTGGTGTGCCTGCCGCCATCCACGCTGCCAGAGAGTACATCTGATCCAACGGCCTTGATTTTCCAGTGGAGATGAGATGAGTGATCTGGGAAAGCGTGAGTAGGTAGCGGTGTGAGGAGAGGGGATTGAGTAGGTGGTGGTGGCAGTGGCAGTGGGAGTGAGTCGGACTCGGTCCCGCCAATTACCGGCACAAATGGTTGCCTGCCTAGCCTTGGCATGTGTTATCAACCACTGCCTCTTGAGACGTCTCAAAGCCCGTGCAAATGGGTGTCTGCCTTGGCACGTGTGAATCGTGATCGCCCGCTGCCTCTGCTGTCCTTCCCTTTCTTCCCCTGTGATTGCAAGAAAGCTCTTGGATGAAGTGGCGAGCACTGGATGGGGATTGAAGGGTGCTGCTGCAGTGCTGCATGGTGGACGTTGGGACAGATTTGTCGGGGTCTGGTTTGGGTCTGATCTGGGTCGGACCTGGGTCAGGCCTGGCTGAGGCCTGAACCAGGTGACTCAAGCCGTGCAGGAAAGCGCTCAGAATGAGCTGCAGGAGGTGCTGAGGTGCTGTGGTGAGGGCGTGGAGCGGGTGACACGGGTCATCCGCCTCCCCCTTTCCCCCCTCCCTACACACAATCACCTGCCTGCCACTCCAGGTGGAGGCACGCACGCACAATCACCTGAGCTGCAGGAGGTGCTGAGGTGCCTCGGTGAGAGAGTGGGGCGGGTGACAACTTCTTGTTTTCCCCCTCTCCTGCCCGTACTTTCCACTCCAGGTGGAGGCGCGCACATTGGAGGAGCTTCAGGAGGTGCTGAGGTGCCGTGGGGAGGGAGTGGGGCGGGTGACACGGGTGATGCTGGACAACATGGTGGTGCTGCGACGAGGGGGAGGGGATGGTGGAGAGGGAGTGCACGTGGACGTGTCCATGCTGCAGCAGGCAGTGAACATGGTGAACGGGCAGCTGGAGACTGAGGTACGAAAAGTTGGGGATTTTTTGTTTTGGGGAAATTTCTGGGAAAGTGGGGTCCATGTTCGTTGAGGTTTGGGTGGTGTGAAAGTCCGTGCTTATGCTTGTCTGCTGGCCGTTTCTTTTGCAGGCATCGGGCAATGTGACCTTAGAGACTGTTGGTGCTATTGCTGCTACTGGTGTTGATTTCATCTCAAGGTTAGTAGAATCTGTTCCCGTCTTCATGTTTAGCAGTGGTGCTTCTATTTCTTCGAGTGTATTCTTATACCTTGTTCTTATGTTATGCATGCAGTGGTGCGTTGACCCATTCTGTTAAAGCGTTAGATATCTCTCTCAACATTGACACAGAGCTTGCACTAGACGTCGGTAGGAGGACAAATCGTGCTTAGCCATGGAGGCTGGACAATATCTGAGCTCCTATATCTTCGTATTGTTTTGCAACCCCTTATATATAAAGTAGCAATGGCCGGTAAGGTTCAATCTGCGTAAAATCGAATGTTTCCATATCGGCAATTCGCGGGGTAGCCGTTGAAGAAGCCGCGTGAGCTTTTCGTCGGCCAAGCTGGAGCTTTCGCGGGCAACGTGTCAAGGCTGGCGGAAAAGTGCATTTTGCGGAGGAGCTCCAACCTCCGTCAGGCACAACCAATTGCGCTGGAAACTGGGTGAAAGCCGGTGGAGCTCGGTCCGTCGGTCTTGCATGTTGCTCCCGCAGGTTTCCCTCGCGCACCCTCCTAGATTCCCCCCACCCCCCCCATCCTATCCCACCTCCGCTGGTGCTGGCATGGCAAGACAACCCACTAATTCAAACTGGCCAAGTACAGTGCATATTGCATATTGCAGCCACCAAATCGTGCATGTGAAGGCGGTGATGTTTGCTCAATTTGATGGAGAATTGGCTAGCCTTTTGATCGGAGTACGCTTTTTTTTTTGTTGCTTCGTGCATCGTTGGTTGCTAGCTGCCTGTCAGATGGCGAAAAGGTCGAAGGAAGTAGGAGATGCGGTTTGCAATGGCGAAGTGCGTCCCCTCTTGGATGATCAAGCCGTTTCCTCGTCTCATTATGGTTCGGTAGTCCCTCCTGGGCTTGATTCTAATGACGACCCGCGCCCAAAGGAAGCTTTAGCACGATGCCTTTCCAAACCGATACAACATGAAAGCTTAGATTATGAGTGAGTGGGACGTTTCTGCCATCGTTTGGAGGCGATTTCGTGGATATGAATTGACGTAGCTGTCTCTTTACGTTCTTTTCAGGGTACTTGAGTCTGCAATTCACGACGAGGACTGGCGCTCAAGAACACGCGTAGAGCACCTCCAGTACACATTGCTTAAATGGCTCTTTGTCCTGCTCGTTGGCGCTGCTACGGGAGCCGTTGCTTTTTTCATAAACATGGGTGTCGAAAACATCGCAGGCTTCAAGTATGAGATGGTCCGTAAATACATGAAGACCGAAAGGTGAGCCTCGGTTGTGCTCAATGACTTTGTTAGTCCTTCATCGACTCTGATGCTACTACCGCTACGGCCTTACTCTCATCTCCGTCTTCAGTTTGCTTGCAGGCTTTTTTATTCTTGTGTGCTCCGACGTCTCTCTCGTCCTCTTCTCCTCGCTTCTCTGTAATGTAATTTCAATGGAAGCTGCCGGCTCTGGTATCCCGGACGTCAAAGCGTATCTCAACGGAGTAGATGCTCCAAGAATATTTGCGGCCAAGACACTGTTCGTCAAGGTACTGAAAGCTCTTGTACACTCTGTTCGCCATGATGAGAAAGTGGAATTTTATTCCTCGTTTGTCTTGGCTACTCGCAGATTTTCGGAAGTATAGGCTCTATTGCTGGTGGTCTTGCTGTGGGGAAGGAAGGTCCGCTTGTTCACACAGGGGCGTGCATTGCAAACGTTCTTGGTCAAGGTGGCTCTCGGAAGTACCATCTTACGTGGAAATGGTTGCGGTACTTCAAGAATGACAGGGACCGGAGGGATCTGGTGACATGTGGTGCTGCAGCAGGCGTTGCTGGTGCCTTTAGAGCTCCTGTGGGTGGTGTGCTCTTCGCCCTGGAAGAAGCAACCTCTTGGTTAGTGAATTTGCTTCTTGTCTCCGTCTTGATTGGCTGCGGGAAAACCTTAGTAAAGCTTTTTTTTTTGGCTGTGCAGGTGGCGAAGTGCTCTCCTCTGGCGCGTCTTTTTCACAAATGCTGTTGTGGCCATGGTCGTCCGTGCTCTTATGACCTATTGTGCCAATGGACACTGTGGGCTCTACAATGGTGGAGGGTTTATAATATTTGATCATACAGAGGCGAAGACAGAGTTTGGGGTGGTGGAAATGTTTCCAGTCATTGGGTTGGGAATCATTGGAGGAATTGCGGGGAGCATCTTCAACCAGCTTAACCTCTCGCTATGCAAGTTGAGACAGCAAGGAAGCAGGTAAATGGTTTGCACCATCATCTCGTCCCTCCTATTCTGGTCGTGACTGTTGATTTTGTTGTGTTGCTGTTGTTGTATTCAATACTGGATTTTTTTTTTCTCCCCTTTTTTCTCTTTCAGGCGTGGAGTGTGGAAAATTGTGGAGGCATGTGCAGTGGCAGCATTGACATCCGCGGTTCGATTCTCTGTGCCATTCCTGGTCAAGTGCCAGCAATGCCCGGATGGAATTGAATGCCCCAGCAAGACAGAGATGGGGTATTACAAGAGCTTCACTTGTCCCCCAGGGCACTATAATGACATGGCGGGTCTGCTTTTTACACCCAATGATGATTCCATTCGAAGTCTTCTCAGCAGCGGAACCCATCATGCATTCTCGTGAGCAACTACACATCTCTACTCCACACACTCCCGCTTGGATCCCTCTTCACCTTTGGTGCTGCTACTTTTCCTTTATCTCGGTTTCTCAACATTTGTTGCCTTGCCTTGCAGGTACACCTCACTTGGCATTTATTTCTGCTGCTTCTACTTCTTGTCCATCCTCACATATGGCATCACTGTGCCATCGGGCCTTTTTGTGCCTGCAATTGTCTGTGGCGCAACGTATGGTCGCGTGGTTGGAAGAATCATGTCTAACTATGCACCTGCCGACAACCTGGACGAGGGAACGTACGCACTTATTGGCACAGCATCTTTCCTCGGGGGGTCTATGAGGACAACCGTCTCCCTCTGTGTGATTCTCCTGGAGTTGACTGGAAGCCTAAAGCTTCTCCCACTTATCATGATTGTGCTGCTGGTTTCGAAGACGGTCGGTGACATGTTCAACAGTGGGATTTACGATGCGCACAACCAGCTGAAGGGGATACCATATCTGGAGGCTCATCCAGAGGAGGCAATGCGGCACTACACTGCCAAGGACATTCTAGTCTCAGAGCCAGTGAAGTTTTCAGGCGTGGAGAGTGTGGAGCGGATCTATGATACACTTCGTACTACAAACCACAACTCTTTCCCAGTCATTGACACCCATGAAGATGGCTCAACATCGTTCTATGGACTTGTCTTGAGAGGTCATCTCTTGGTGCTGCTGCGGTCAAAGCAGAGCTTTCTGCTCCATCCACATCAAGTTTCTGAGACTGTCCAAAAGCACCTTGCAGCAGAGGATTTCGGTAAGCCAGGATCAGGGAAGGGGCTGAAGGTGGAAGACATTCAACTGAGTGAAGAGGAACTTGGAATGTTCCTAGACTTGCATCCTCTAGCCAACAGATCTCCATACATTGTGCCTGAGCGCATGTCTCTCAACAAGGCATACATGCTCTTCAGACAGCTGGGCCTTCGTCATCTTTGTGTGGTTCCCAAGCCGACTCACGTTCTGGGCATCATAACCCGCAAGGATCTGCTGCCTCAGAATTTCAGTGAGCGGAATGTGTCTCAGACGTCATTAGTCTAGGAGTATAATCTTTGTCATTCATTTGCTCAATCAACAAATGATTGTTACTCGGGTATACGGTAACAAGGGTGCAAAAGGCACTAGGGAAGTGGGATATGCAACAAACTTGAAACCCACAGAGCTGGTATCAAATTGCCCTCCAGTTTCACTAATAGCGAATGGAAGAATTTATGCAGACCACTCAGGTGACCACTGTACATTTCCTTTGAATGGGAGCCCTGTCTTTGAGGTTTTGGGCTTTTAGTAAGGCCTTATTCTTATGGCGAACCGCTTGGTCTTCTGAGGGGGGTGCTCCTTCCTTTTCTGTGAAACTGTTTCCGCTCCGTTCTTTTCTGTGAAAGGACGTGACGAGAGGAATTGCGTGAGGACTTCATGTTGAGTTGCCGCCTTGCCCTGGCTATTGTGCTTGCCGCATTGAAGTCACGTCACGAAATGCAGTGTGGTGTCCGTAGATCGGCGAACCGTGGATTTAGTAATCCGTTCTGCGTAATGTGATAGTCGCCCACGGCTGTTATATACGTTACCTGCCTATATTCTCAGGCAACTCCACATGCAGGACTGGCACCCCTTCACATGTTCTTCCATCGCCGACGTTCTGACCAGTGCTCATAGCCGCTATCTTTCCTCTTGACAAAGTGTCGCATGGAATATCCCTCTCCTCGTTCTACATTATGCGATTAATAATAAACGCGGATTTGAGTTGGACTATTTTCGTACGTAAAAGGTAAAAAGCTTCGGCTGGCCTGTCAACCCAAAAGTTCAAGTGAAATAGCTTTTCTTCAGAAGTGGGAATGGCGAAACAGCTCGTTGTCTGGCCCTGGTCAGCCTACCTTGAGTGAGCCAAACGATGAGGCTTCTGGCGAAGCCCAAGGCTTGAAGTGTTTTAGCGAAATGTCTGAGCTTGTGAGAACGCCTCGAGAAGTAATGCTGAGAAACCACCCCGAACCAAGGAAAAGGTTACAGATGTGAAACTGATTCCACGGAGACGGAGACGAGAATGTGGAGGAGGGAATATACCAAGCCTGTCGTGTCAAAGCGTTTCTGTAGCTTCAAGAGAAGAGTGGAAGAATCCAGCACTACAACAATTCAGTTGTACAATCCACTGGTGTGACCATCGGCGTATGCGTAGTTTTTGGAACAGAAGAAAGCCTCCGTCCAGGTCTCGTGCAGCTGCTCCACCCCCGAGCAATCAGTTTCCGGATTTCTAGGGCATTATTTCGCTCGTAAATTTCTCCTTCCGGCGCGCTTCACGAAGGAGCTGGGAGACGGTCCATCATGTGCAACAAAAGGACGTGAGTGTAAAACAGTGACTGCGTTCGTGGCAGCCGTCTAGCAGCCGTCAAGACCAAGCGGTTCGCCATCCTACTGTACAGTGTGCTTTCGTAATGTTGCTGCTTCGAAGAGCACATAAGAACGGGACGGCCTTCTCGTGTGATTCATGAACCGAGCAGATCGTCAGAAGCAGAGCAACTGGACAAGGAGTGCACCACGGCGTCGCTTCTTCTCGGACAAGAAAGACTTCCTCTGCTCCTGCTGCTTGACTATCGTGCTTGTCCTGATGACTGCATGATGGACGAACGGAGGTTCGGAAGAAGCTATGCCTTGGTGCTGAACAGGAGGAGGGAGGGACCTAGCTCAGTGGGACCGCATGGGGCACATGAAAATGAACCACAGCAATTTTAGTCCGACAGAATTCAGTGCCTACAGTAAGACCAGAACGCCGATCCCGCAATGCAGATTTCCCGAAGCAGTTCTGGCGGCTGATGGCAAAGGTGAGAAGGGGGAGGGAGGGTCCTTCCCATCCCAGAGGGAGAAATCTGCCCCTCATTCTGCTTTGCCTATTTCTTGTTCTCGTTTGTGGTCTGTATTGGCTGTTCTCAGTTCCAGCTGGCCATGATAGTGGCAACAGGCACGTGAGCAGTTCTGCCTTGCTGGCATCTCTGTTCACAATCCTGCCCTTCAACTGTACACGTTCGTCCTACTTCATGATTCGACGAAAACCTTACCAAGATTGCGGCCCAAGCATTAGACAAGTGCAATTTGGCATTGGGAAATTTTGTGCTGGCTACCTGGTTGTTGAAACAATTTCAATTTTAACACACACCAGACTATGTTCACGACTCGCAAAGTTTTCGACACGTGTCCGTTTCTTACCCCCGACAAAAACTAAAACCCCATCAGAAAGGGATGCGACTCGGGGCGGCATCATAAAACCCACAAAGATTGGGTCGACAACCCTTCGATCCATCATTTATAGGAAGGTTGCGTCGCTGGTCGAGCCCACCAGACCCAATTGGATCTGCCCGACTCGGGTCGACCACGTCGGCTCAACCAGGCCAACCAAACCCAAACCAATCGAGCTGGAGCAGGTTACCATATTGTGCGAAATTAAGGGTTCTCGTACAGATGTCGCTTTAATTTCGCCGCACATAATGATACCCGATAATATCACCACGAATTTCCCAGCCCACCATCCCCCGCACGGCAACTGCATTCTCGTTACCTCGAGGATGTATTGAAATCAGCGGAAAATTTCTGGATTTTCCGAGTCGCGTTTCCAAAAACCTGGTCGTGTTGGGTTTAGCCGACCAGATCGAGCCGACCCAACCCAATCTCTTTGGGTCGCAACACGTCAACCACCCCCGATCCCGCATTTCTAGGAAGGTTGCATTGCGGAAAAAGCCAACCACCTCGACCCAACCGATCGGGTTGGGTCTGCCCAACCGAATTGGCCAGGTTGGCTCGACCGGGTCGACCCGACCCAAACCAAATTCCGTGCGACAAGTTACTTGATCTAACGAAGTAAAAAATCTCACTCAGTTCTAGTTTTGCAGTCGCGTACGAATTGCAAATCTAGCGAGGCAATGTTTCTGCGTAACCATTGGTCCAGCGAGTTGTCGACTCTCGTCACAGCTTGCCTAACCTGCAGGGAAGCTGGATGTCAATTGCACTGTGAGTGGTTCGAAGGTGAGCCAAACTTGATTCGAAATTCTTCGTAGTTCCGAGCCGCGATGGTCAGGTCGACTTGGTTGACCCAACCCAACTCAATCTTCTTGGGTCGCAACACGTCGTAAACACCGAACGGGTTCTCGTGTTTAGGGTTGATCCCTCCCGAAAATGAGTCCAGGTTCCCTATGGGTTTTATATTTTTGAGCTGCCCTATCAGTTCGAGCTCGGAAAAAAACAAAATGTAAAATAGACATATGTTGAAAACTTTTGCCTTCAATACCAACATTGAACATAATTATAAAGGAAAGTATGTGTTGGCTAATATGGTTTTAGAATTTTCTTATATTTAGTTACAAGGTTTACTCAATTAGTGCAACTCAACGGGATTTCGTTCATGCAACCTCCCACATTATGTTCAAAGTTGGTACTGCATGCAAAATGTTTTGACATGTGTCAATTTTAGCAATAGATTTTACTTTTCCAAGCTCAAACTGATAGGGCAGCCTGAAAAAAAGCCTTAGGGAAGCTGGACGCATTTTCGAGGGTGGGGGGGGGGGGATCAACCCTAAACACGGGAACCCATCTGGTGTTAAGGGTTGATGCCTCCCCGAGTCGCATCCCTTTCCGATTGGGTTTCAGTTTTTGTCTGCGTAAATAATGGACACGTGTCGAAAAATTTGCCCGTAGTATGAGTTGTTAACATAATCTGGTATGTGTTTTGAATGAATGTTCTGAAAGCAATAATTTTCGAGTAAACCCAGGAGGAAATGCGAATTTTTTCCAGTAACCAGGTAGCCAGCACATACTTTCTCCAATTATAATGTTCGATGTCGCTTGAGAGAATCTCATTGAGTCGCACTGTTTGAGTAAACCAAGTGACTACATATGAGAAAATCTGGAAAACCAAGTACACATGATCCTCGTTTGACTAACCCGAGGTCGCCTCGTGAAGGGGGCTTGTAAGTGATTCCAAGTATTTTGCAAAAGGTTTCGTGAGTTCGCAGCTAGAAAAAAAGGTTTCGTCAGGTGCTTATAAGGTAATTGTAACTTCTCCGTTGACATTTTGACTTCAGTCTCTTCAGTTTGACTTAAGTCCCTTCGTTTCGATTGGTTCAGAATTGCTGCAACTTGCGTGAGGTGCTTGTAGTGTTTGCGCAACTGGCTTGGGAAAAAAACACGGATGCAGGCTTTCCATCCGGTTCAGGGCAAATTTGCGTGCAGGGGTTGAGCATCATGTGTAGCCAGCACAGACATTCCCTTTGGCATTTGGTTTCCTCGGTTCGATTCTTCCTTTCCCAAAACGAAGCCCACGAGATTCTTTTCCAAGCCTTCCACACACAGAGAACGGGCAGCCCATAAAATTCATCTACAATGATTGAGACGTGCAGGCTCACGTGGAGACTGCCCCTTTTTAAAAATGTGGAATGAGCAGTTTCATTGATACCGCTGGAAATCAGCCTTCGACGTCAACTCTACAGCACAGGCGGTGGTGTGGTGTACACTACACATCCCTTGAGAGAAGCTTTCTGACGGCTGTGCGGTCAATCAATGTTGGAACAGCTTGTTTTTTTCCGATCTTGTTGGAAGATTGTTTACAGGCGAGGCAGATTTCGGTACAGTACAAGATGGTCAAACCAACTGACGCTGACCAACCGGAATTTATTTTATTTTACTGTGCACAGCCAAGCGATCACAAGGATTGAGGGTGTATTGTATTCGGCATCCATCAGTTTGGAGTTGCTCAAAGGGCACGGCTTTGTTTCAAAACCCAATGAGGAGTCGATGTCCGAACTCAGTCCAAACTTTCCTTTAATCAAGGCAACTCATTGCGACGTTTACATAAATTATTTAAGCTGTGGGAGTCACAGACTGCATCTTTCTGCTGAAATTGAGAGAGGTTGAGTGGTGGGTTTGTAAGCACGTCTCGGGAGACTGCTGCTAAACTTACCAGTAAAGTTGGGACTGCTCATCCATCATGACCAGGGTATGATTCATGGTGCTGCCTGAAAAGTTGTTAAGTATGGGCAACTAACTGTGTAGACTTCGATCTGCTAGCCACACTTTCACGCACCCTGCCATCATATGCCACGAAGGGTCTATGAATCAATCGCATCGCAAGGGTTTCGCGACGCCTTGTGCCCAGGAAAGAAGTGTTCGCAATGCTTCGCATACGGTGCTTACGAGCGAGTTTCTGTCGCCAGCGTTCCAAAACAGCGCTTCTTCAGGACCACCCTCTTCCAACAGAGACGTAAAGAAGCGCTCAAGCTCAAGCAGCGATTTGTTGAAAAGCTCCTCCGAGGCTATGTCTCAAGAGCTCAAGCAAATTGCATTAGGTTCGCTCACTTCCTAGCTTTCCTTGACGCTGGTCCACAGCTAATCTTTGACTGGCATTGCCGTTTTTACACTTGACATTGTAGCCGATTTGATTCCGCAGAGAGCTGGGTCCTAATTCTTTTGTTCTGAAAAGATTTGCTCTCGCATTTTGCACTAGAGGAACTTCAAAGAAAGCCATGGCCACGCCAATCTGGCCGTCAGATGAAGGAGACATAAAAATTCAAGGAGTTCCCTTGGTGAGAACAACTTTTAAGTACACTCGAGGCATGTCCTTCGCATAATTAACAGCTTACCGTACTGTGCATGTTCCTCGCGGTCTTCAAGAAGCGTGTGTTCTTGATTCTTTACATGAAATTTGACCACATGTTGCTCTTGCGAGCACCGGAAGGTGGCTACATTCATCTTTCCCTTGTTGTGCTGCCTCCTATCAAGTCCCTTCCCGATTTTTTTGGGAAATTTCCAGCCTTCACGTCGATCCTTCCCTCCTGTTTCCTATCATCTCGCATCGCAGTTTGATGACCGAGTGTGGGAGGCATTCGGTGCGGAAGAGCCGACCGCGCAGCTCGACGCTGTACACGTAACATCTTTTCAGACAACGCATTCCGAGACTGACAGACACGACTCGCAGAAAGCATCTAGACCATTCAGCGGAAATGATTTCCCGCGTTTGCAGAATTCCACATTCGGCATGTCGCCGACCGAAAGCGGAAAATCCGAAGTTTTTCTCCCCGGTACCCCGACCGACACGTCTGCCTCGAGAGCCTCTGGCATCGCTCAATCTCGCGACCAGCTCCCTCAAGAAATCGACGAACGCGCCCTCACGGAAGTTCCGCAATTCACGGGTGATGATTTCACCCTCATGGAGCTGAACGACGTGGTTGGCGGAAGTGCAGGCGACCATCTGGCTGCCAGCGGCCCGTGCGACGGCGACCATCTGGCTGGGCCGTGCGACATGGATGGCGACCTTTTGCAGGGAGACGACGTTCTCGGCGCGTCGTGGGATGCGTGCGACCACACCGGCAATCTCGAGGCAATTCTTAGGTGCGTGCGACGCGACTCATTCGTTTCACCGCTTCCCATTTCCGCCAACATTGCATCGCATCCCGTTCTTTCTTTTCCAGTTTTCTCTTAATTTCAAAAGAAAAAGCGACCCGTATCGCTCATTCCCATCCTACTCCATTGTGGCACATGTTCGTGTCGCGCCGCATCAGATCCTCGTACCAGTTCGCGAAGCCCTCCCAGTCCGGCGCTGCGACAGGCCAGCATTCCGCACAGCCCTCCATTGCGGGAATCCTCTCCCACATGCACCCTTCCGCGGCCTCCGCTGTACCGGCGGACGCGGGAAAGCTGCTCTGGGAGGGCTCGGCTGCGGAATCCAAAGCCGCGCGTCGACGCGGAGAATGCGAATTCGAGGAGCGCCGCGGCGAAGGCGACGGCGAGAACGCGAATTTCGCGAGATTCGCGACGCTTCCAGCTGCGGATGTGGCGGAGGCGACGGAGGGAGGTGGCACGGAGAGAGCGAACGGGCTGTGCGATTCTGTGCTTCGGTCGCCATCGCCTCTGCGCGACAGCATTCCGCAACTCCTGTCGCTTCTGCAGGTGCGTTCAGATGACAGTTCCGACGAGTTTTAAGTAGACTCAAAAGTCACCTCGGTTCTATGTACTCGTGCGCGTGTGAGGGCCGTCCGTTGACGCCACGTGTGAGGTTCACCTTGTTTGAATGGGGCTGACGCCGCGTTGTATTTCTGTGTGTGTGATGACTTGCAGGCCACGCGGGATGCTGTGGCACGGTCGAAAGTGGAAACCCAGCAGATGCAGATGCAACGGGTCCAACAGCAACAGCAGCAGCAGCAGCAGCAGCAGCAGGAGCAACAGGAGCATCGACAACACCAGCAACAAGAGCAACAAGAGCAACAAGAGCAACAAGAGCAACAGGAGCAACAGGAGCAGCAGCAGCAGCAGCAGCAGCAGGATAGTCCTGCATCGTCCTCCTCTACTCGCACTGCTCGCACATCCTCCCCACCCACTCTCCCCACATCCTCCACTGCCGCTACAGCTACCACCGCTGCCACCACCACCGCTGCCACCACCACCGCTGCCACCACCACCGCTGCCACCACCACCGCCACCACCACCGCCACCACTCCCATGCGTAGCACCAAGAGCACAGGCAATGACACTCCTCCCCGTTCCACGCCCATTTCATCCCACGCCACTCCTGCCCCTGACCAGTCCACCTCTACTCCCGTCACCACCTCTACTCCCGTCACCACTTCTACTCCCCTTCGAAGCATCCGCCCGTCACCGCTGCGCCGAGTCCCCTCGTCACCCGCCTTCTCCCCCGCCGCTCCCGCCACCACCTCGTCCCCGTCGCCCTCTAATCCCCGCGCCTTCCCGCCCGCCCCTCCCACCCATCGCACCGTCCCGTACCCCTCCCAACCGGGCCTCTCATTCCCGCTTAGCCCCTCTCCTTTCCCCGCGCCCGCGCCCGCGCCAACCGCGCAGCGCGGGCCGCCGCCCTATCCGCGCCTGCCTTTCTTCCCCAACTACCACCAGGCCTATCCCGCAGCCGCCCTTCCCCTTCCTCCCATGCCCGCGAGCTTCCTGGCTGGCGCTGCTTCCGCCGCGGCCTCTCCTAGCAGTGCTGCCGCCGCTGGCGCCACTGGTGCTGCTTTTAGCGCTGCTGGCGAGGCTGTGGGTGCTGGTGCTGCTAGCGCATCAGCCGCTGCCGCGTCTGGAGCAGCGAATGCTGCGGCGAAGGTGTCAACGCCGGGCTGGATCCCTGCATCTGCTGCAGTGAACGCACCCATCGGCGCAACCATCAGCGCACCCACCACCGCACCCACCAGTGCACCCACCACCGCACCCACCAGTGCACCCACCACCGCACCCACCAGCGCAGCCATAGAAGCATCGTCAGCGATTGCTGCTCGTATGGCTGCCCTTGGCCCTCTGCCTCCTCACATGCCTGCTCGCGCTCTCATGCCCTTCCCTGGCGGCCCCATGCCGGCACCCGCGCTCTTCCCAGGAGGCAGCATGCGTCACCCATACCCTCCTGCACTCTTCTACCAATCTAGGCTGCACGCGGCTGCATCGGCTGCTGCACCTGCATCAACAGCATCAGCTCTGGCTGCATCTGCTGCATCGGCACCTACAGCTTATACTCCTGCATCTGCTCGTGCTCCTGCTTCTGCTGCTACTGCTGCTGCTCCTGCGGCGGCGGCATCTCCTGCCATGCGAGGAGATGGAGGATCTGCAGGCACAGTTGGGAGCGCAAAAGGTGCCCAGCACGGTGGTGGCTGGATGAACAAGCAGATGTGGCTGCGTCAGGCCCAGCAGGGGACTAGCTCGCAGCAGGAGCAGCAGCTGCTGGGTCGGCAGATGTATCTATTTCACCGGCAGCAGCAGCTGATGCGTCAGCAGCAGCAGAGGTATCAGCAGCAGCAGGATAAGCAGCGGGAGAAGCAGCAGGGAACACAGCAGGAGAAACAGCAGGAGAAGCGGGACGAGGTGCTGAGAACAGAGCAGCAGAAGCAGCCATTGAACCTGCACCGAACGAGTGAGACGAGACCACAATCTGCTGTACGAGTGAAGGAAGAAGCAGGCAGGGACGACACGACCCGCAGCAGTGCCAACATCAGCAGCAACAGCCACACGTCTGCAGGCGCTGTTGGCGGCGCATCAGGCAGCACGCCATCTTCTGCTGTTGCTGGCGCTGTTGCTGGCGCAGCAGGTGATGCATCGGCGCCATCTGCAGCTGTCGCCACCACCATACGTGTCACTTCAAATCCGGGTGAACCTGTTCAGGCTGATGCCTCACTCCCTTTTTCCCCAGCAGCACCTGCAGCTGCAGTAACGGAATCAAGTGAAAACCGAATCGGACATGGCTGTAGCGAGGGAAAGAGGGCCCGTGAGGCACAGCAGGAGGCGGAGGCTGGTGAAACGGACGCAGTTGAACAGGTGCGAGGCAAACGTCTCAAGGCTGCAGAGGAGACTGTGAGGCGCGAGCCTGAAGGCGAAGCTAAGGCAGAGGATGCGACTATGGAAGACACAGCGGTGAAAGTGCAGCAGGACGGGTCTCAGGCGAAGGGGCTCTCACTGCAATCTGCTGCTTTTTGTGGCAATGCAGCAACAAGGGTGTCAGCAGGAGGGGCAGGGTCAGCAGTTGAGAGGGCTGGTTCAATGGAGTGCGGGGATGCAGGCGAAGATGTCGAGTCTGCTGCCTTGGGCCAGCTCTACTCTACCATTTCTCAGGTGAGCGCTCCCTCTCAGTCTCTCCTTTGGAGATCGCACCTTCTCTGCTTGCTTGCTGGTCTTCAGTTCAACCCGTGTTATTCTAGTCATTGTTCCTCGCCTCTGACAGCTTCTATTGTGCCTCTCTCTCCCCCTACGCTTGTTTTTTCTTTCCAGCTCGACCCCACCACCCGTGACTGCATTCGCAGTGCTCTCCTGCGCCTAGCCACCAGCGCTCAAGCCCGTGCCACCAGCGCTCAAGCCCGTGCCATGTCCCAATCCACTGCCACCGGCACCGCCACTGTTCCTGCTTCTCCTGCTGCTTCTGTGCGTGATTGTTCTGCTGTTGTTGCTGCTGCGGTGGCTGCATCAAGATCAGCCTGTGTTTCTGCAGTGCCTTCTGCTGACGAAGCCGCCAACCCCGCATCCACCAATACACCAAACCGCACCACTCAAACAGGCCAGGAGGCTTCGAATCCCACTCCCACTGCAGATGCTGCTTCCCCTGTCACCCCTGTCACTGCCAGTGGCAAGCAACAGCAACAGCATCAACCGGACACGCAGCAACAGCACCTGGAGAAGCAAGAACCCGGACAGCAGCATGGCCCTTCAAAAGCCCACTCCAACACCCATGCTCCTGACTCCAACGCAGTCGACCGTGCGATCGCCAAGCTGCTCTTCATGGCGCCACCCACCCCAGCATCTACCCACTCCTTCCCCGCTTCCACCAGCTCCTTCCCTCTCTCATCCCCTTCCTCCTCTCAATCCACCCACCCAGCTGCCTCAGCCTCTCACGCATCATCCCATTCGCACGCAGCCTCGACTCTCCTCGTGCACTCGCACTCCGCCACCTCCCTCACTGCCTCCTTCTGCTCCTCCGCTACCCCCACCTCCATCCCGCAATCCGCATCCACACCCCATGCTCACGCAACCAGCTCGTTGCACCTTCCGCCCCTCGCTCCTCCTCCGCCACCTCCTGTTGCTGCTCTCCCTCACGCCCCTCACACCAGCTCCTCTCAATCATCTCGAGCAGCATTCCCTGCCGTGCCTCCCTCCTTTCCTGTCATGCTGCAACCGTCACCTACCCATCCTGCAATCCGCCTCTCCCCACACGCCCCCCATCACTCTAATATGTTTCCTTACACTGCTTGCTTCTTACCCTGCTGCTCTGCTCCAGATGCCCTCTCCTATCCCCAGCACCAAAACCCCTCCCATCCTTCCTCACTCCATCCCTACGCCACACCTCCCCAACATGCTCATCTCGTTCCAGTCGCTTCTGCTGGGCCTCGAAATTGGATGACATGGCATGGCCAGAGCCATGCAGCTGCGAGATGTGGGTAATTCCAGGTCAGCATTCCCGTGTTGCTGGGGCACGGCCTGCCACTTCACCAGCTGGTGCTGCCACTACTGCTGGAGAGGCCAGGAGAAGTCAGAGATTTCAGCAGGGAGTGGCAATTGGTTTGGGAAATGACAAAGCAGGAGGAAGCATGAATCGCAATCATCCCGGCCTGACATGTTATTAGAATGGTCATCAACGTGCACTTGATGTGTTGATAACGATGCCACAGAGAAACAGCAGCATGTGCGGCGCTGCACACGCTTGCATTTATTTATACGACTACTTGCGTGCGCATTGCATACGCTAGGTGCTCGATTTGTGTAATTCTCTGCTCATTGCTCATTGTGTCAAAACATCTCCAAGTCAACACAGTGACTGTTCACTGCTTGGTGTAATTTATGTTCATTGCTCAGTGATACCGTTCATCATTTTCCGTTCCAAACAGCTTTGCCATTCACAGATTTCATGCTCACCGGTGTTTGTTTGCACTTGGCCAAGAAATGCAACAAGCCGCAATCGAAGCAGTTATGGCTTTAGTAGGTAATAGTAAACAACTAAAGACCTGGAGCTGGTAAAAACTCTGCAAGATGTAGCACACTCATGAGTAAGCCTACAGATGGAGATTACCGTAAATATTCAATTATAGAATAATGAATATATTTTTCTCAATGTGCTGTGGAGCCCTACTCGCCCCTTCTCTTCTTCCCCGTCTTGTCGAAACCCGAAACCTCAGCTTCTGCTTCGCTCACCTTTCTCTTTTTGCGCCTCCCCTCACTCCCGCATTCTCCTCCTATCACAGTCAAATTTCCACCTCCATCATCGATTGTTTCCATGCGATTCGACCTCCCGTCATGTGCGCCCTCCTCCTGCGCTTCCGCTTGCGCTGTTCGCTGAGTGGTTTCGGGACGAAAATCCTCCATACCGCTCCGCAAGGCGAGCATCCACTGCGGGTCCTCGTTACTATGCGTAGCAGCAGCGCTGCTGGTAGTATTAGGGTTTGTGACAGCTCTGCCGCCTGTCGTTTCTGTCCTGACGACGTCCGCCGTGTTCGTGGCTTTCGCCGTCGCTATCAGCAAGTGTGCTTTTGGGCTCCCGCCACTAATGGCTCTGAAAGACGCTTGCAAGTCCGGCTCGGATTTCACGTCATTGTTGTACGCCGTATAATCAGTCCCGCTTTTGAGCGATTTGCCAGAGGCCCACTTCAACGGTGATGAGTAGTAGCAGTTGTGTGATGAGACCAATGTCGACACAAAGGCGCGCTTCGGGTTTGGAGCAGGGAAGAAGCATGCACGCGGCAGGTCTAGAGATTCGTTAGTCACACCCGTTGGCAGGTATGCATGCAGCAGCCTCTGATAATCCTCAAGTACACCTGCTGACGCCTTTGCCGCTGCGTTCATTGCTCCGCTCGTCCCCCCTTTTGCGGCGTTGAGACGCAGGGTCAATGCGGACTTACCGTCGCCATAAATCGGCATGTAACAGCGGTAGTAGGTTTGTCGACGCTGCTGCAGCCGTGCACGCACTGACGGAGTATTTTGTCCAAAACAGTTTAGCGGAGTCATGGGCCTTTGAGTCTGTCAGAATATTATGCTCTAGCCTGTAGTGGGGTGCTCTGTAGCGAGTACAACCCTTCTAGGGTTTGCTATTTGTATCCCCATTCTTGCTAGTGCAACCCTCCTCTTTCGCCTAAACTCTCTTGCCTAGCTAGGACTCTCCTAGCTATGGCTCCTAAGACTACCGGTTATCTTGACATGCTATCAGAGCAGGTCGACCCCCTTGGGTCGATCCTGTGGGTGGGCCCGCCACCTAACTGCTTCCGCTGCTATTCTGCTTCTCGCACGCCTCGGGCGCGCGCCGTCTTCTTCCTGCCGTGCGCTCAGGGCGTACGGCGGTTTTCTGCCCGCCGTGCGCCCCGAGGCGCGCGGCGGTTTCCTGCCCGTCGTGGCGCCCCCGGGGACCTGCGCGCTGCCCCCCGTCGTCCTCCTCCCGTCGCCTCGTCGCGGCGCCCTGGGGGCCCGCGCGTCCCCCCCCTCCCGTCGCCTCGTCGCGGCACCTTGGGGGCCCGCGCGCCGCCCCCTCCCGTCGCCTCGTCGCGGCGCCTAGGGGGCCCGCGCGCGGCCCCTCCCGTCGCCCGTCGAGCCGCCCTCGGGGGCCCGTGCGCGGCCCCCCTCCCGTCACCCGCCGTGGCGCCCTCGGGGGGCCCGCGCCCTGCTTCTTCGTGGCGCCCAAGAGCCACCCCGCTGCCTCCCTTTCCCTCCGTGCCCCGCCCCTGCTGTTTCCCGCGCTCCTGCCTGCGTTAGGGTTTGGGGGTGGCGGGCATGGGGGTGACCGGTGTGGGTAACCTGCGGCTCCTCCTCCTCCTCCGTCTCCCACTGCTGCAGCTGCCGCTGAGGGGGGTGGGTGTGTGGGAGCCGAGGGTTTAGGGTTTAAGGGGGGTGCCGTGGAAGTGGAGCTAGGGTGTCAGCAGGGGGTGTGTGAGAGGGGCGTGGGACGGTCGGGGGAGGTTGCGTGGAGGTAGCCGTCGTGACGCTAGCAGCGCCAGTAGTCCGGATGCCCTCGCGCGTTTCGGTAGCCCAGCGAGCCTGCTTCGCCAGTCGCCTGTGGGTCCGTTGCTCCTGTGTGTGCTCGTCGTAGCCGCGTAGTCCGGTGCCCTCGTGCGCTCGGTAGCCACTGTGCGCGCCGCTCCTGTTGCCCGTGTGTCTGCAGCTTCAGTCGGCGCCTTTCATCTTCTCGCCCTCACAGTTTCTCCTCCTCCTCACTTGCCCTCTATGATCACCTCTAGCTTTGCTTATAATTGTGAACTATTGCTATGCCTGCTCATTGTACTGATTACACCCCACTTTGGCTATGGGGGTGTGTCAGAATGTTATTATTGTCTAGCCTGTAGTGGGGTGCTCTATAGCGAGTACAACCCAGTTAGGGTTTGCTATATGTACCCCAACTGCTGCTAGTGAAACCCCTCTCCTTTCAATCATTCTTGCCTAGTCTTGTTGACATGCTATCAGAGCGGTTACGCTCCTGGCCTGTGGGCCCGCCTGCTTCCGCTGCCTTCCTGTGTGTCGCGCGTCCCGTGGCGCGCGATGTTCGTTTTTTTTCTTCCCGCCGCGCGCTCGGGGCGCGCGGCGGTTTTCTGCCCGCCGTGCGCCCCGAGGCGCGCGGCGGTTTCCCACCGTCGAAGCGCCCCCCGTCGCCCGTCGAAGCGCTCCCCCCCGTCGCCCGTCGAAGCGCCCCCGTCGCCCGTCGGAGCGCCCCCCGTCGCCCGTCGAAACGCCCCCGTCGCCCGTCGAAGCGCCCCTGGGACCCGCGCGCGGCCCGTACGGGCTGCGCCAGGCCCGCGCGCGGCCCGTACAGCCCGCGCGCGGCCCGTACGGCCTGCGCCAGGCCCGCGCGCGGCCCGGGCAGCCCGCGCGCGCCTCGTCCGGCCTGCGGCAGGCCCGTGCGCGCGCCTCGTCCGTCCCCCGAGCTTCTGCCGGCGCCCCACCCCCGCTACTGCCCGCGTTCCTGTGTTAGGGTTTGGGGGTGGAGGGTATGGGGGTGCCGTGAGTGTGAGCCGTCCCCTGCTCCTCCTCCTCCTCCGTCTCCCACTGCTGCAGCTGCTGCTCAGGGGGGTGGGTGTGTGGGAGCCGAGGGTTTAGGGTTTAAGGGGGGTGCCATGGGAGTGGAGCTAGGGTTTCAGCAGGGGGTGTGTGTCGAGGGGTGTGGGACTGTTGGGGGAGGTTGAGGGGAGGTTGCCGTCGTGTCGTACGCAGCGCCTGTACTCCGGGGCACTCACTCCCGGTAGCTCAGAGAGCCGGTTGCGCCGTCGCCTGTGGGTCCGTTGCTCCTGCTGCTCGTCTTAGCCGCGGAGCCTGTTACTCCTGTACTCCGGGGCACTCACTCCCGGTAGCCACTGTGTCGCACCAGAGCCGTCTGTTGCCCGTGTGCCTGCAGCTTCAGTCGTCGCCTCCCATCTACTCTCCTCTCGCCAGCCCTCCTCCTCCTCACTTGCCCGTTGTGACTACCACTAGCTTTGCTCATAATTGTGAACTTTAAACTATTGCTTCTTAAACTTGTGCTCAGAATTGTGAACTTGATCCACCCTGAGCTTGTACTGCTTTGCTTGCTCTGCTGATTACACCCCACTTTGGCTATGGGGGTGTGTCAGAATATTATGCTCTAGCCTGTAGTGGGGTGCTCTGTAGCGAGTACAACCCTTCTAGGGTTTGCTATTTGTATCCCCATTCTTGCTAGTGCAACCCTCCTCTTTCGCCTAAACTCTCTTGCCTAGCTAGGACTCTCCTAGCTATGGCTCCTAAGACTACCGGTTATCTTGACAGAGTCCGCCGGCTCGCGTCAACAGAGCCAACTGGGTCCGCATTGACTGGGTCAACAGGGTCAACCTGGCCAACTGGGTGAATAACAGCCGATCTGGGGGACGTCAACGCCGAGTCAAGGCGGTCAAGGGGGTCAAGCGGGTCAAGTGAGTCAATGGACATGACGATGTCGAGATCCGACTCGTCGGGCTCCCACGCGGCGGAGTCGCAGACGATGGCCGCATCATGCGCCGCCTGCGGCGGCAGCGCCTGATAATGCGTCGGCGACCTGAGCGGCGCAAACTGCGGACCGCGACGAGGCGCTGATGACGGCGAAGATCCTGTTGACGATGTGGACGGAGTCATGGCGGTCGCTGAGCTCCCGGAATCTCTCGGGTAGTGAATCGGTCGAAGCCTGCTGCAATCGCGAAAAAACGTTCACAGAAAAGTGATCAGAAAGGCTTCCTGAGAAGGGACTCAGTGCATGAGTGAAAGTCCGACCATAGAATGGAGCTCTTATCACAGTCGGACTGAGCCTGAAGGGTGCTGCCAGCCCCCTGCATCATCCCAGCGTGTCAACTCACAACAATGCGTCTCATCCGCGCGACGGGGGAAGTGGCGGCCGCGACGGGAGGGGGTGGGGAAGGGGTCAGCGAGGAGGGGAAGGGGAGGTTAGAGGCGGTTGGATTGGTCGCACATGACTTGGCAGCTGC